ACCTTTCTTGACCGATATACCAGAACGTACTGCAACGGTTCTCCTTGACGTTAATAATACTGAAAGTGTCAATATGGATGCACAAGTTAAAGCACTTACTGATGGCCTACAGAGTCTTGTAAAGGTCGCAACAGACGCTCCAGTAAGTGGTCCGCTGCAGTGCGATAAATTCAAGCCTTCAGAGCATAACGCTCGTGAATGGATGAAGGAGTTTGAAGAAGCAGCGACCATGTCGAATTGGCTGGACAAAACCAAAATGAACGGTTTGCGTTCTACTTGACGGCTGGTGCCGCTAAGCAGTGGTATAACCTCAGAAAGCCGTTTGCGACTTGGGACGCTTTGCGTACTGCATTTCTCACAGAATTTGTCAGTGAGGATGAGAAGTGGGACTATCAGAACAAGTTGCAAAATCGCAAATTCAATCAGGATAAAGAGAGACTGGTTGAATATTACTACTCTATCATTGACCTTTGTCATAAAGTCGATACTGCGATGTCAAACGAAATGAAAGTGCGCTACCTGTTGAACGGTCTTAGTACAAGCCTACGTAATCATATGGCGGTGCTTAATCCGACAACACCGGAAGAGTTATTGACACGTTTCAAGGTGTTAAAAGTTGATTCGGAACGTACAAGTTCTAACACAAATGTCATTTTGACAGCTGAAGTCTCGGCAAAGCAGAAGCAAAGTGAAGACGACGAAACTGCTGCCGGTGATGTCAGTTCAGCAAACGTGTCAAACGTGCTGCAGTCCAGTGAATTTCAACAGGCTGTGGACAGAGCTATCTCTGCCCGTTTGCAGCAAGAGTTCCAGATGGCTGCCGGCTCATCGACACCTCCCGAGACTCAGTCAGCCGCGCCTGTGTTGACGCAAACGTTTGTACGGGAGGCGCTGCTGGTGCCCGTGGAGGCCGTGGTCGCGGTGGCCGAGGTCGTGCTCGTGGACGTGGCCGTGGTGGTACACGCAACGGCGGCAATGGCGAATCCCGCAAACCGGCTGTGACGGTTGAACGGAACCAAGACGACAAGTCGCGGTGTGATTTCTGCGGTCGGCAAGGTCACCAAGAAAGCCGGTGTTGGGATCGCATGCGGGAACGTAAAGCGGCACACGCGAAGCATGGAAATGCTCTGCCGTCGGAAGGTGAGGGAAATTTAAACTCCAGAGAGTAGCTAAGTACAGGGGTTTAGCTGCTCATACGTCTGATCCCCCTGATTTTGCTGGTTTTCCTTTCGATGCATTTCCGATAGAAGAACCAAATGACGATTCAACTGTTCCGGCTCCAGTTTGCACTACGGCATATGTTAATGGTATGGCCGTGCCTGCTGTGATTGACACCGGCTCCGCTGTAACGATTATGAGTGTGCACTGTGCACAGATGTTAGATCTGTGTATTCAGTCATATACCGGGCGGCCCGTTAAAGGTGTTAGTGGCAAATTGATATCGCCTGTCGGCACTGTTTGTGTTGATGTGTTATTGGCAAACTGTTCGCACCAAATTAACGTACTTGTGCTAGACACGTACGATCGTGAATTATTGGTCGGTAATGATTTTCTGATGCGAACGGATCTAGTAATTGATTATGCCGGTCGTACTATACGGCGCTTTGATGAACGTGATGGCGAACAGTTCAGGCCATGGAAAGCGCGGAATCTTGTTGCAAGTCGCAAAGTGCACATTCCCGCTGGTCACGTAGCTTGGGTGAAATGTCAACTAAACCGTAATCTATTTCCTGGCCGTGTGAAACCAGAAAATATGGAGTTTATAGTTTCCCAAACGCTAACACGTTCGCTCAAAAGGGTTACGTACATCAAACGCGCTAGTCAAAATTGTCAACAATGTGTGTTATTTGGCGTGTGCAAATTTCTCTCGCATGACCCAAACAATCGGTAAGGGTCAGAATATTGCGTCTGCGACACCAATGTATGTTGACCGCGTTCCAGAGTGCTCGGTGGTTGAAACGTGTGAACTCCCAGAAATTCAGTGTGGTGCAAATTTAACTGCCGATCAAACTGAACAGTTGCACGCTGTGTTGCGCAAACACGTAAGCGTGTTTCCCACTGCTGAACGCCCTATTGGCGAAGTAAAAGGAGTTTCGCATGTTATAGACACAGGCAGTGCATTGCCAGTGTCCCAACCTCCTTACCGGCGATCGTGGGCCGAGCGTATTGTCATTCGTACAGAAGTTGATAAAATGCTCCGCCAAGGCATTGTGACCCCATCCTGTAGCCCGTGGTCGTCTCCCATTGTACTCGTACACAAGCGAGACGGCACAACGAGGTTTTGTGTTGATTATCGCCGGGTCAATGCTGTTACCAAGAAGGACGTGTACCCAATGCCCCGCTTGGACGACGCGCTTGATCAGTTAGGTGGGTGCGCTTATTTTACTTCCTTAGATATGGCGTGGGGATACTGGCAGATCCCCGTAGCGGAGTCCAGCAAGGACCGTACCGCTTTTGTGACGCCTGACGGCTTATATGAATTCAGCCGTATGCCCTTCGGCTTGTGTAACGCCGGGGCGACCTTTCAAAGGTCAATTGGACAAAATACTGAATGAATTCAGATGGCAGTTTGTTATAGTGTACATAGATGATGTACTCATCTATTCGAAGACGTTTGAAGAGCACATGGAGCACCTTGATGCCGTACTGCGCAAGCTTCGCCACGCAGGTATTGTGCTTAAACCATCAAAATGTGTTTTCGCGTCCGATTGCACCAAATACCTTGGTCATGTCGTTGACCGTAATGGTATTAGTCCCGATCCCGATAAACTGTTGGCAATCGCAGATTATCCAGTACCAGAAAATGTCACGGACATAAAGTCGTTCTTAGGACTTTGTTCGTATTTTCGTCGGTTTGTACGGGATTTTGCCGGTCTATCGGAACCGCTGGTACGGTTAACGAGAAAAACCGAACCGTTTGTGTGGTCTTCCGAACAGATGGTTGCTTTCGAAAACTCAAACACGCACTAATTAGTTCGCCGATTTTAGCTCATTATGATCCAAATGCTGAGATCGAGCTACACTGCGATGCTAGCGGCCTTGGAATAGGCGCATGTTTAGTATCTAAACTGGGTGACTGCGAACGGGTGTTGGCGTACGTTAGCAAAGTTTCAGTCCCGCAGAACGTAATTATGCGGTCACTGAACAAGAGTGTCTGGCAATTGTTTGGTCGGTTAAAAAGTTACGACCTTATTTGTATGGTAAGATGTTTCGCATTGTGACAGACCACTGTGCACTGTGTTGGCTTATGAGCCGGCGTGAATTAGCCGGTCGTCTGAGCAGGTGGGCGGTCTTGTTACAAGAATACAATTTTGAAATTGTATACCGTAGCGGCAAACGTCACCAAAATGCGGATGCGCTATCGCGACATCCCGTCGAACCAGCTGACAGTGCTGATGTCGAAATGGACATGTTAGTAGCCATGACCGACACTCCAGATTTCCACTATGAACAGGTGCAAGACCCACGACTGTGTGATGTGATTGACAAGTTGGCAATCGGTTTGGTGTCTCGCGACACTGTGTGTTATACCATGAAAAACAACTTGTTGTATCGCAAAGCGTTAGTTGACGGGGAAGACGTACTGCTCCTCGTAGTACCAAAACATTTGCGACGTGACATATTGTTCGCTTGTCATGACGAGCGTACATCCGGTCATTTGGGATTTTGGCGCACGTATACTCGTGTGCGTCAGCGCTACTTTTGGCCGCGCATGCGTGATCATGTGCGTAAGTACATACGCGGCTGTCGACAATGTCAACTTCGTAAAGTCCCAACTGATAAACCCGGTGGTCTTATTGAACCAATTCCAGTGGGCACTGCATTCGAGATGGTGGGAGTGGATGTTTTGGTCCTGTTCCCCGTACCGCTAAAGGCAACCGGTATGTCATAGTCTGTACTGACTATTTGACAAAATATGTGGAAACAAAAGCTATTCCGGCGCAGACCGCTATTGCAGTTGCTAATTTCTTGGTGCATCAAGTAATACTGCGTCACGGTGCGCCGTCAAGAATTTTGAGTGACCAAGGTGGTCCATTTCTGTCAGATGTAGTTCAGGAAGTTCCAGTGCTATGTCAAACGCGGCATCTGAACACAACAGCGTACAATCCACAGTGTAATGGATTGACTGAGCGGTTCAATAAAACTTTAGCCGTTATGCTTAGCCTGTATGTCAGTGATAATCAAAAAGATTGGGACCTACATCTCCCATATGTCACTACAGCTTACAACACCAGTAAGCAAGCCTCGACAAATAAAACACCATTTTATTTGTTGTACGGGCGTGAGTGCCGTTCAGTCATGGACGCACAGCTTGGTGCACTTCCGAATAACAATTTGAATAACATGCACGAATACAGTCAGGCTCTCGTAGAGCGTCTTAAACTGGCTAGTGATGTTGCAAAAGCTAATATTGAGAATGTCCAAGCTGGTTATATGTTGACCGGCAATATCAAAAGAGAACCGCGTGAATTCCAAATCGGTGATTTGGTGTTATTGTATACGCCGGTAACTCCTGTTGGTTTGTCTCCAAAATTAATCGCACATTACTTTGGACCGTACAAAGTGGTTAGCCGTAAATCAAAGCTTAACTACGAGATCCAGTCTGTGCGTACTAAAAAACGTGGTAAAACACTCTTGTTGTCCACGTAAAGAGACTAAAACTGTTCACGGAGCCTCTGTCTGATTTGGATTTAATGGGTGACACTGATTCACAGTGGGACATTCCCGTCGAGGACGTGGATCCCGAGCTGCGCGTGGAAATTGAGCGGGACTGCGTCACCAAACCTCGTCGTCCTGCCAGGAAACCGGACGAGCCCGTCGACGAAACCGATCGCCCCGTTATCCGGACACTTCGTAACCGGACCCTACGGGAACCCTCGCCGTAATGCCTTGCCTTAACGCTTGCACCTCTTCTTTCATGTAATTTTTTATATAGCGTTTTCCTTCATTACGGTCATCCAATCGTTCAAGTTATGTTCCGTTTCTCAAAGTGATTGGTTTTCGCCGTGCTTCAAACTTAAGAACGGGAGTGCTGTGTGACGCATAGTCATGTATACAGTGTTGCTCACCGGCGTAATCCGGCGTTTATGCAATTGTTGTGAACTATCTTCACGTAGCTATCTGTGTCTAAAGACGTCTGTTTTCTATGCTGATTTCTCAGCGCCATGATGAAGTTGTGATTGAGCGAATCATTATCTATCGTGTGCGGCTACAGTAAAGATCATTGATGGGATTTGGCGGTATTCTCCGTTACGTATAATGTAGGAGAAACGATCATATATTACATGAATCCGGCATTTCAACTGGCACACCCAATAGCCCAAATTCACCGCGACAGTGAGAGTGGTACGCATCTGGATTGTGATGAAAACGTTGGTATCGGTCACCAAGCGCGTCGGCTGGAGGACGTTCTTCCACAATTCCGGTTTGCCGGCAATTGAATTCTCCAGCTCATCCAACGTCCAGCGCATGGCTGGTGAATGCCGGATGCGCAGCATAGTGACCAGCACGCACAGAATCATCCGACTGCCCACCACCTTAGGATCGGCGTGGTCGCAGATCAGACGGACAGCCTCCAGGACGGGGATCTGTTCCAAACTGACGCCGTTCAGAGAGCACAAGCGCTCTACAAACGCCACCTGCGTCCACATTGTTAGCTGCTGAATCTCCCAGTTCAACGCCAACTTCATGGCCTCGTACAAGAGAAACGGATCCGCACGATGTGGGTCGATGGCCAGGGATTGGCGTTCCGTTCCGGTCGCGTCTAAGATGACCTGAACGGCCTCGAGACTGTAATCCCATTCGTAGTGGGAAACCTTCCCTTGCTTTCTTGTTGCGAAGACGCCGCGCGCTTTTGGAGACAGCCTGACCTAAAGTAGAAAAACAGTTTTGAGCCGATTATGAACTGAAAAATTATTAAGATTCGTATCAGAACAGATAAGTAGTCCATTTCCGGCTAAGAGGATATCCCAGCACTGGGTTTTGAACCTGGCTGGAGAAACATTAGACAGTTACTATCATCAAACGGGAAAAACGAGGAAGTAAATATAGAATACAGATTACAGACGTAAACCAATGGGTTACTGAAAAAACCAAGACAGCTGCCATTCACTTAAGGGAAATGGCCCGGTACAGAGCGTCAAAAATGGGATACATACACTAAAACTTTTGCTTGCGCGCTCTCCAAATCACTATTTTGCAATACTTTATGTCATTCTAAAGCTAAATGATTTGTATACATTGTTCTGAAAACCGTTTGCGCGCGCAGCATCCGGTTGCTGAGATATGGTGCATTAAAATGGGCAAAAAGTTTAAATGCATTGTAGTGTACCAAGGTCCAAAAGTCTGGTTATTACCCGATCTTTTTGAAATTTTGCTGCAAAAGACACATAGCCACAAAGTCAAAAGTGAACCAATTTCAAATTCATAGCACTTTCCTGTAATTTTAAGATGAATTTTAAAATGTTTGAAAGCCATTTTAAAATCGGAAAAAAATGCTATGGATCTGATATTGGTTCACTTTCAACTTCATGGCCATATGCCTTTTAAAGCAAAGTTTCAACAAGATCGGGCAATAACCACACTTTTAGTACACAACAATGCAATTAAACTTTTTGCCCATGTTAATACTTCATATCTAAGCAACGGAATGTTGAGCGCGCAAACGGTTTTCAGTTATACAAATCATTTAGCTTTAGAATGACATAAATTATTGCAAAATAGTGATTCGGAGAGCGCGCAAGCGAAGGTTTTAGTGTATGTACCCCATTTTGGACACTATGTACCGGGCCATTTTCCTTAAAAAACAAGCGGTTCACAAAGCATTCTTAAAGAAGTAAAACTTTTTTTTTCATTTTAAAACCGCCCCTTTTCACGGAGCTGCCTGTATCGTTGAACGAAATAAACAAGAATACTAAGCATACTTTCATGAACGCAGCGTTTCAAGATCAAAAAGAGCTAACCATGGTATTTCGATCCGTCTCGATCTGCCCGTTCCGCATCTTCAGCACCACCTTATCCGTTCCATCCGCGTCCCCTTCCGGAAATCGCGGACCCTCCGGGATGGTCAGCCGGAAGGCCGCCACCAGTTCCCACAGAATACGCTGTAACGGCACCCGCATGGTGACGTAGCAGTAGGCTTCACGGAAGTTACCCAGCTCCTGGCAGCATTCAGAATACGTCTGGCCCTGAATGTTCTTCAATGCGTTGTTGATGCAGTACAAGTTGGTGGCATCGATCGGCGGCGTTGTGAACTCGACGGTGGGGCTTCCACAATTGTCCGGATTGATGAAGGCCAACTGCACTACCGTGAAGACGCAGCCGTCCGGAACTCGCTGCAGCTGGATCCGTGCCCGCCACGGAACTTCGAAACCTTCTTCAGACGAGTCATCGCTTGAGGGCGGTTCGTCCGCCGTCACCTTTTCCTCAACTGCAAACCATCAATGGCATTTCTTCCAACAGAAATAAAAAAAAGCTAAAAGCACAATGACTATCCCGGGAAGAAAAGCCTGCACAGTTCACCAGGTTTGAACAGCTTAGCGGATTTAATGAAATTTGGCATCGAAACTGCGTCGAAATTAGAATTTATTATACATATATGCTTTGACAGAATTAATAAAACCTTCAAATGAAATAATTTAGTAAAATTTATACGTCACCGTTTTCCGCAAAACTGCAAAATAGCGAATTTATGTTAAATTTAATTTCCAATCGCCCAATTTATGTTAAAGCTTTTAAAATTAGCAAGCAGATGGAATAAAGCGAATTCATTGAAAAATGTCACTTTTTGAAGTTCTAAATCGAATTAATTTAAAAAAATTGTCAAATGAAAGAAATTTTGCCAATTCCTTAATTTTTAACAGTTTTTTCAGTGATGTAACTGAATTCGGCGATCGTTGAGAAATAGGCCCCTCAGGACATGCCATCTATAAGATGACGCACTTACAGAACACTTGCAATCTCACGCCATTCTCCAGCCACGCCGGCAGCGGGGAAATACTGTCGCCAGTCAGTGCCAGACGTGCTTCTTGCAGTTTTCCCTGGCCATAGTCGTTCCACGCCAACGATCGCAAGTCCGGTAGATCCTTCTGAAAGGTGTACATAATGCAGCACAAAACACCGTCATCCGTCCCTTCGATGCTGGCCAGTTGATGGTGGATCAGCAGTTCCAGAACTCCTTCTTCGAGCTGACGTTGCTCATCCAGACGTTCCAGTGGCTGAGATGCATCGCTGCCGAGTTCGGAGGCCGATGGAATTGGATTGCTACCAAGCTGAATCAGACTGTGCTTCGTTGAATTCTTATCGGCATCAGACTGCGTCTCCACTACGTTGCCGTCCATTTCTGCACGCTCGTCACCTGATCAAACACAACAGAGAACCAGATGAACCCAATTTAGAGTACACACTGCATCAGCAAAACTGCAAAAGCTTCCTATTTCTGTTAAGGTTATCGGGCTGATGTGTTTACGAGTAGCCAAGCCCTTAAAACGGGTACTCTCACGTGTCCTTATCCGTTCGTTCACCGCTCGGTTCACGGCTCCCAACTTACACCGCGAAGTCTCCGCAGATCAATGGAGTAGACGAAGGTTCTTTGCTGATGGCACTGCTCTGACAACTGCAGCTATCTTACTCTCAGCAGATTCCTGCAGAATTAAAAGAATACGGGTATCTTTAGATCTGAACTAGAATTAATAATCTCAGACATATATAGCACACAAAAGAAATTAATTTGTGCTTGCGCAGTAAATGCATCCAGCTCTCGGTCGATCGATAAGCACGACCGAAAACTGAAAAATTCCAATCGATTTTACCACATTTTTGGGCATGTCTGTGACAGGTGGCTGTCGTATCGAGGCGATCCACCAGGCGTCACACACGTGCCTTTTCTGTGCGCATTGGTGCCACGTGCGTTTATGTGGGTGTGCATGGTGCACTATATCCCGCACAGCGTTGCACTCGACATCACTCGTTAGTGACTAGTGAGTGACACTGTTCAATGTTGTGTTGTATGACTTTCTGGGTCTTGCAAGCTTTGCTGGGTTCGGATATTGCAATTTGTCAGTGTACTGCGAACACAATGAACTGCCGGCAGGCATTTATCGGCGAGAACCTTCTCGGATAAGCTGTTAGCCGTCGCGACGGACTTAGGAATCTGAAGTCTCATGCAGTTCCCACCGTTTTCTTATGAATAATATTTCATCTGAGTCCTGGTTCCCAGTATTCTTAATATTTAGCCGACGAGCGCTGTAAAAATGAACGGTGAAGGGAAGAAGACGCCATCCAGTGTTGTGGGGGATGGCTACACAATACGGCATTCGACTGAGTACCAGGAGGTCTCGCACAGCGAATGCTCGCTGTATGCACCCCGAATTAAGCCATCATCGCCTGCACGGGACATCTTACCCTTTCCGCACTCCCCACTTCTGGCTGAGCAGCAGCAACGGGAGTACTGGACTTGCTGGCCGATCACCAGTTGGCCAGCCAGGAGTCCAGCATGGTCGCGAGGGATGACGGTGTCGTGACGTGCCGTGCCATGTACGTCTTTCAGATGGATTTACAGGACTTGCAGTCGTTAGCGTGGAATGATTACGGTCAGGGGCAACTGCTACGTGTACGTGCCGGGACTGGTCGCGAAATTTCTCCTTTGCCAGGGTGGCTAGAGAATGCCGTGGGACTGCAAGTGTTTTGTGAGTGCAGATCATCGGACGTCGTATTCTGATGGCTCCCTCATCCCTGTGCCTTTACCAATATCAGGAGGGAGGCCTAAAACCCCCTCGAAATAGCAGATGAATCTATTGGTGGGAGAACATGGGTCTCCCACAAAAGGATTCATTCCCCAAAAAGGGGAAAATACAAAGATAAAGGAAAAGGGAAGGTAAAATCACCGAGGGCGGCTGCTCAATACATCAAGCAGATACATATATTACTGGTGGTAGATTCCGTACCACCAGTAATATAGAATTTATTAATTTTAACTCATGTACTAATTTATTAATCCTGCATGGCTGCATCTCGCCGTGTAGTAACGCATTCCAAAACGGCGATCTGCTCAAAAATATGACAAGAGTTTTGTCAGCCTAATCCACCTTCAAGAAGACAAAATAAACTGTTTGTAAAATTATTGCGCTGCCTTCAACAACTTGCTAATAAAATTATTTGCTTTGTCGAACACACAGAACAACCGTTGAAGCCACCGTTGTTTCTGGGCTTCTTGTTAAAGCACTGTGTACACCACTGATCCTTTGCAGTCGAGAAAAAAGTGGCGACAAATCGACAGCACTCTTCGGGTAACGACGCTAAGCGTGGTTTCGAAGTTTCATGGCGAGCCAGGATCCAGTTAGAGCGGGTTCCGGACACCTGTGTCCTGACGGCAGTGCAACTGGCCTTTATTAACCCAGACCACCACGGCAGTCCAACCGTTTTTATCAGTAAACGGGAGTCGAACCCTGCCAGGAACATGGACTTCATCAACAGCGCGCTGCAGAACATCACGGGTTGGACCTACTCGGAATGCTGCCAAGAACTGGGCATCTTCCGTGAAGCCTACTGTTTCGTCACTATGCGGGTGCCGTTGCGGAGCTTGCAGGGAGAAATGCTCAGTGCATTCCGGCTGACCATCCCGGAGTGTCCCGCCCTCGCGGAGGTGGATGCCTTGAAAGGGACGGATAATGTGGTCCTCAAAACGCGACAGGGTCGGATCGAGGTGGATCGCGAAATCCTGGTTCGTATACGCTCACCATCTCAACAGTTTTAAGAAGTTTTCAAAAAAACCCAAAGGTGAAATTTCAAATAATGTAGAATGAATAAATATAAAATGAACAGTGTGTTTTTAGGCTTCAAAATGGTTGAAAACTAGAAATGAATAATCGAAGACGTTTCTGCATTTTGTCACTTCCCTTCCGTTAAACGTGTAGATACTTACGTTATATAACTTATATAGTAAGTTTACTTTTCGAAAAATATTTGTAGGCAGCTCTTTGCAACAGTCAGTTTTAGAGAGAATTTTATATGTACTTCGAATTGCTTAATCCAGACGCAGACAGACGCAGGACACACGCAGACGCAGGAAAGTCAGTCATTCTGCATTTTTGCAGACGCAGGAAAGTCAGTCGATTCTGCATTTTTTCGCCATTTATTCCCGTTCTTTCCGTCCTTTCTTCTTTTCCATTTCTCTCTCTTTAAATTGACTTTAGGTAGTATTTGTTTTATTTTACGAAAATGGTGTTTTTTATTTCACTCTTAACCCGTTCCACACTATGCGTGTTAGACCGACATGGTAGAGGACTTCTTCTCTGTAGTCCGTTGTTATGAACACAGATTATTTCTGTTGGTTTTGTTTCAAAGAAGTTATGTTAGACGACAGTTTAAAATATATAACCGTAAGCTGGGTCATATCCGGAAGGTCCAGAGGGTGACCAAACATGATCAAAACTGACCAAACTGGGCTCCCGGAGGTCCTGCTTGTCTGTACAGCCACCCCACATCAGATAATTACCAAAAAAATCACAGGAAAACTAATTGCGGAGTTTTATAAAAACATGAAGCAAAGTTCCGAAAATTAACGCCCACTGGCTAGTACTGGTTACTTGAAAATCCCATGTCGGTTATGACACGGTTGGGCACGGTACTATTTTATTAATAAGTGTCAAAAATTCATATTGATTGACAGAAGCGTCCTACAAGATACAATAAACAATCAAAATAAAGCTAAAAAAAAGCTGTAATAACTGACTTGTACATAGTGGTCAGTGAAGTGACCATTGGTCAGCGATGACCGGAAATTCGAAAAACGTAATTTTTGACTAAACGCAGTTAAAATTAATGTGAAGAAAAGGCAAACAAGTTGCGGAATGACCGCTGTGAGTAGCTCTAAAATTGCTATGACCCGTACTACCGGGAACAATCAGAATTCAAAAAATTTTGCAGTGTAACTGCTTGCGTATAGAACGCCATTATTGCCATGTACTGTAACCTACCAGCTGCTCCATTGTTCCAGAGAAAAATCATATATTCTTTGCAGATTATATCGGAGTTACACTGTAGTAATGAGTGTGAAATCTTGCAAAAATTATTAACTCGTGTCTACACTTCGCATAGTGAGCATCAAAAACATTTGAACCTTCCGGTTCATGAGCGCTTGTAACCTTTAGAAACCAGTCTGTGCAAAGCGGTTGGTATAACGGAAGAGAGCATTTGGGAGTAAAGGCAGCCTCCGTTTATGCAGCTGAGCATTATTTAGCAGCGGTGCCGACGTAGACAGTGCAAAGTATAATCAATCACTCCCACACAATTTGGATAATTCGTGATGCTTAGGGAGTCGGCTAGTCTACCACCACAAGTCCACTAGCAGAACTGCCTTCCTTTGTAAATACGAGCATTTGTTGTTTTCTATAAAGTTTAAACGTAAGTTAGATTGTACGAGTAGGCTTTTTGGCAGGGCTTTATTGACCCTACTGCGCGATACCCTCGTTTTCTCACAACTGGTCACTTGTACAACACTTTGAGAATATGTTGTCTATGATTCCTGCTAGCTATCTCTGCTACGGTTTTCGGTTGCACAACCTGGAATAGTATTACTTCCACTGTGTAGACGTCACCAGGACTGTGGTCAACAATAGGTCAAGTGACCAATTGTCCAAACCGTAGAGCAAAAGTGACCAACTGTTGCGAAATATCGTAGTAGCGCTTATGTACTGGTGAATATTAGGATTTTTTCGTTTCTAAATTTTCCTTGACCACTGGTCATCTTGATGACCATCGTAATGCACCTGTGTTCAAGTACTCGTTGAGACCTATCGTTTAAGCAATTGGCATATTCTGTGCGATTTTTCTATCGCCTGTTATAAACGGCAATGGATAACATGTCGGAGCAACATGGTTCCCAAGCGTGTTAGCTCGACATGGTCATCTCCTGCTTGACCTATGGTCGCTAAAATTCTGAAAAAAATATTTTTTTCTTAACTGAATTTTTCTATCCCAAACTACCAATTTTCGAAACGATAGTCCCATCCCTTCTAGTACCCGGTTTTCCTGGGTTAAGCCCCCGAAGAAATGTTCCGTTTTGCGTTGATTTTAATCAGGTTTGGTAATTCGAAGACTTGCAATCTTAGGTTCGTATTTCTCCGAGAACACGCGCGATCTTCGTCGAGGGAGAGGCAGGACAAGTCCGTTTCTACGAAACGAACTACAGCAAGGCGGCCGTGGTGATGGTGTTGAGCGCGGCCATGACACAGAACGCATCCCTGCCCACCGATCCCCGCCGAGCGGCTCCGTTCTTCCTGTACGAGATGATGAAATTGGTGTCGAGCTGGGAGATTCCCCAGCTGCAACTGTGGACGCAGTTGGCGTTTGTGGAGCGCTTGTGTCATCCGGTGGCAAATCTGGATCAAATTCCCGTTCTGGACGCGGTGTGGATCATCGGTGACCATGCCGATCCCCGGGCGGTGGGCAGTCGGATGATCCTGTGCGCACTGGTTGGTGCGCTGCGCTACTTGCATTCACCAGCCGCGCGCTGGACACTGGATGAGCTGATGGCGTTAATTGCCGGTAAGGCTGAAATTGATAACATGTAGAACCGTTAGAAACAAACTGTGTAATGGATTTGTAATGGTCTTTTGACGCCGACATGCATAATTAGATAGGTAATTATTGAAACGTTTGCCTATTTAAGCTGTTTTATCGCTTGACTAAATTATTGGGATTTTTGGATTCCCTGCATGGAATGGGTTTAAACCAGTTTTCAGTTAAAAATGTTATTGTTTCTTTATAAACCGTTGTACAGGTCAGAAGCCCTATCGGATTATGAGTAAATGAAAAATATGGGGGAAGTAATTCCAGCATTGGAATTTGCAGAGAAGCCGGCATTGTGGAAGAGCGTCTTCCTGCCGACGCGGCTGTTGCCCGACATTGGCATTAAGAACATTACGGGCAAAAGTCGCATGGTCACCGTTAATCTGGCCTATTGGGTGTACCAGTTGAAGTGCCTGATTTGGCATCAGGAAGGTATTCCCCAGGATCAGCAGCGATTGGTTTTTGATGGTAGAGCGTTGGAGGACAATGTTACGTTAGCGGACTGTGGGATCGTCACCAACGCCACCGTGCATTTGTGTCTCCGGCTGAGAGGTTGCTGACCGTGTACAACCCTGACAACAGTTTCGAGAAAGGAGGCGCAATTCTCGCACTCCAGTTGACACTTAGTTTATGAGGGGAAACACATTTTCATTCGTTCGATCTTTGCGTTCGTTTCTGGAGTAAGGATTACCGGGTCATGTTTATGTATTATTTAATGAATTATTTGTATTGCCAATTATTTACTTTAAGAGGCTGGATGGAGTGTGTTGTGTGTTAAAACTGCGTAATTTTGCGTTTAACCTATATTAATGCGGATAACCTAATAAATTTCCCGTTTACACTAGTACCGGAGGTTTTAAAATGTTCTAAAAAAACCGCGCCCGTAATTTTGTGTAGATGTCTTTATTTTTTCGTTGGCAAGGACCCTCTGCACTGCTACTGAACGAACGCCTTCGTAACAAGAACCAGACCACGCTGAGACGCTCTTCTGCCGCTTTATTTTTTTAATAGTTCGAAAATTTAATTACGATGTAGCAGCACCTGTAATCGCATGACAGCAGCTTAATGTATCAAGCAGTCGGGAGAGGATTCACACGCGACAGTTGTAGCTGTTGCATTTATTTTATCAAAGGTAGCCCATGACCAGAAAAACTGCTACTGTACCAGTCGATTGATCAATACTGAGCAAAATATGCTAATGAACACAGAAAACCCATCCAACAGACCCCAAAGATCATCTCATAATAACACGTTCTACCTTGCATCAAGAAACCAAAGTAGAGTAAATCTAGGTGCTAATTATACAAGGGATTCATCCTTGTATAATTAGCACATTGATCGAGCGACGGGGCGTGGGAAAACCAGCAGCTCTGCGGAAAGCAGATGATGACCAGCCTGCAGATATCAGTGCTTATGTGGATACCCGGGCCTAAGCAGACCGTGTGCGCCAAAGGACACGAACGGTCCTGAGGAGCACTCGATTGGCTCTCGATCGTGGGAATTCTCAATTGATAAAATCAAAGTCCGGACGGCATCTTTCACTTCTGCCTCACAAACTATAGCTTAATTCGAAAAGCATTTCGCAGAAGAAATACATCAGGAGACATTCGTAATTCCAGACCTTTAATTTAGGTACGAGTGCTCTAAGAAGAAGCACCCGCAAACTGCCAAGTATCTGTAAGTAACGAAGCACGGCAGCGTATCTGCTTTCTAATCGTAGATATGGACTGCAGTTTTACAGTACAGCAAATAACCGTGTGCATTGGAACACTGCACACCAATTATCCGTTAACCTTTTCTTCCAGAAACGAAAACAAGTTCACTCAAACTAGATACCCGAACCGATTATGCACAAAACAGGAAGTTGGTTCGATATGCGCAAAGTAAATATACGCAATCTGCCAACCCGTGGTTGACAATTGCAGCTTCAGTTCGGCTCACATCTTCTGCTTCACGTTTTGGTCAGTTGCAGTCGCGGAGCAACTGCACCGAATCACGGTGGCCAATGCCGCAGTCCGCCAAGGTACGCTCGTCTTCCATGATTTGGCCGTCAAATACCAGTCGCTGCTGATCCATGGGAAGCTCTTCGATCTCCTGAATCTGTACTTTCAACTGGCGCACCCAGTAAGCCAAATTAACGCTAAAATAAATTTTTCTACCAGGATTGATTTCAACGGTAAGGTCACAATCATTCTCCAACCGCGTCGGGTAAATAACGTTCTTCCACAACGCCGGCTTCCGGGCAATGATATTTTTCAGCTCGTCCAGCTCCCATCCCAGGGCCGGAGAATGTAGGTTGCGTAGCACCATGACCAGTCCGCACAGTATCATCCGGCCGCCCACCGCCTGGGCATCGGCGTGGTCACGGATAACACGGACGGCATCCAGGACGGGGACCGCTTCGAGAATGCCATCGTCCGGACGGCACAAGCGCTCCAGAAACGCCACCTGCGTCCACAGGGTCAGCTGCGGAATCTCCCAACTCAACGCCAACTTCATCGCCTCGTACAGGAAAAACGGAGACGCTCGGTGCGGATCGATGGGCAGGGATTCGTGCTTGGCTACGGCCGCATCCAGAACCGCCAAGGCGGCATCCAGTCTACAGTCCAGTTCGTAGAAGATAACTTTTCCAAGCGGTCTCTCTCCGAAAATAGCCCGAGTTTTGGGAGAAAGGTCAACCTAGCGATGACAATCCAATCGTTATTCACATAAATGAAAGCAGGATTGAGCGAAGTCATTTGAAAGTTGTCCACGACCACGGCAAGTCTCATGCACCCTTTTAATAAAAGAATAAGAAGAGCACAAAATGCTGTGTATATTTCTAGTGCGTAGATGCTCAGCATCTACGCACCCGCGCGCAGATCTGAACATACTGTAACTTAAATTTCCTCTCAGCCAAAACCTTCTCAGTTTTTGAGCACTGTACGCGCGTAAAGTTATATTTGTTAAATAATTTGAAACAAATGAATGAAATACAAAAAGAAATTAAATATCACTATTAGCCAGTAGGTCACTAACCAGGATTTCTCGATGGGATTCTATCTTGCCATCTCGCGTTTTCAGTGTCACAGTATCCGTTCCCGTATGGCCCAAGTCGTAGGAGCACGCCAGACGGTCCGGGAAGGTCTGCCGGAATGCGTGGAGCTTGTCTCCCAGCAAGCGCCGCAGCGGCACCCGCATGGTAACGATACAGTAGGCTTCACGGAAGATACCCAGATCCTGGCCGCATTCCGAGAAGGTCTGACTGTCAATACTCGCCAGTTTGCTGTTGATGTGGGACAAGTTGGTGGCATGAGTTTCCCAAATTTCCACCGTGGCGGTGGGATTTTCGAGATGATCGACATGAGCGAAACCCAGCTGCACATCCGTCAGGCTGCACTGGTCCGGCACGCGGCTTAGCTGGATTCTGGCTTCCCATGGAATTTCGAAACCAGGCTTAGAATAGCCACGAGTAAAGTCATTTTCTTGTGTCGCAACTCTTTCCTTAACTGCAATACATCCACGACATTTTACATCAACCGGAAACAAAAATTCGTAACAGCGCCTCGGCCCACAAGTACTATTTTGCCCGGTACAAAAGTGGTATTGGCGGAATTCTAAACGATTTTTATAAAAGCAGACACAACGCCGTTGCGCAGACTGTTGACTGTGGCATCTACAGCACGATGAATGATCACTTACAGAACACTTCCAGTCCGACGCCGTTCTCCAACCACACTGGCAGCGGGGAAAGCGCGTGGCCAGTCCGTGCCACACCCATCCCGTCCAGTTTCCCCTGACCGTAATCGTTCCACGCCAACGATCGCAATTTCTGTGGATTCTTCTGAAAGGTGTACTTGGCACAGTAAACTAAGACACCGTCTACTGTCTCGTCGGTTCTGGCCAGTTCATGATGGGTCAACAAGTCCACAACTTCCGCTTCGAGCTGGCGCTGTTTATCCAGGGGTTCCGACGGCGGGGAGAGTTCGCTGCCGCATACAGGGGACGATAAAAGCGGTCCGGTGGAATACTGCCTCAGGCCGTGCTCCGTCGAATCCCCAACCGCACCGGACAGTTTCTCCATCCCCTTGCCATCCATTCTTGCAGACGACGGTCCTTGCCTAATACTGTAGTAATGGCACTGCACTGATACTGGACAAAAAACTCGGCGTAAATTCCTCCACTATCACAGGAATACGAGTAGCCTGAAATTTAAACCAGCGATGAAATTGATGGCGATGGTAGCCGATACCACATTCAAAACTAAAATCACGAAATTCGGAAAGCAATCGAAAGCAGCTCTTGCGTCGACAACAACTTAGTATGTCTAAATGGATTAATATCACCTTTGTCAAACACCTCTGTCAACCTGCCGAGTGGCAGCGGGCAAGCCATACCGGACAGCGCATAAAGCCCCGACTCTGATGTTCACAGCATGCAGCAACGAGTCACATGTTACGCGGGATATGGCGCACCATGCACGCACGCATATACGCCCGTGTGCGCAGTATGCACTTGGCTTTCATTGGCCTGGCTTTGCCGGTCAGTTTTGATTGGTGAATAACCGCGATGGAATAGAGCAGTCATTTAGAAGTACGCACAATTTGTGCTTAAGTACTGTATCCGTTCGTTGTTTCATTCCTGATCAGTTTGCGAGCGTAGATGACAGTGGCAAATTTAAGGGGGGAGGAGGTGGGGGTGGGGGCAAATGCCCCCACCCCCACCGCCGTTACTCGGACGTCAAAAAAATTCCGAAGTGGCTATTTTGCCGCAGTTTTTGCGGCAAAATAGCCTTAGCCAAAAAATTTGCAAGAGGGAGGTAAACTAGCTGTACTGTATGATACAGGGAAGAACATCACTCAACGTTGCGAGGGATGGTTCCACAACCCGGCATTCGACAGAGCACCATTAGCCCGTTGAAGACTGGTCAAATAAAGTGATTGTCCGCTGAAGGTGGCAGCGTACTTTCACAGTATCCGCTACGCGTGACCAGCAGCAGCAACTGAAAGCGAAAGTTTTTGACCTGCTGGCTGATTTCCGGCTGGCCAGCAAGGAATCCGGTGCGAATGGTGACGGTGTTATAGCGTGCCCCGCGATGCCCACCAGACTTCGCCCATTTTTCGATTTCTCACTTTCACCTCACCTCCATTCGTCCATTACTTTTCCCACCTCAGCCCACCTCCGGCGGCACAAAATCTCATCCCGGCTCACCTAATGTACCCCATTTTCACCCCCACTTTTCGGTTTTTTAAAAAAATATTGTGATGTTCGATTTTAATGTCAAATCTAAAGGTACTATTCATTTACAGTAACTGCGGTAACCTGTTGTGCAGCTGACTTAAAAATCTGTATAATCTGAAAATATCTGCAAGCATTTTATTACCGCTATTGAGAAATCTCATCACTGGTTCGCTTAACACCACGCCGCTTTAGATCACGATTCAGACTGCAAAACAACAATGTTTCGAAATTATAATCTTTAGTGCGAAGTCGACGTTCAGAAAGCAAGTATCCCGCGACACTAAAAATCCGCTCCACACCTGCTGTCGTTGCAGGTGCGCACAATATTTGTTGAGCAATCCGGGATAAACGTTTATATTTCTCTGCTTTAGCTTTCCAGTAGACAAGAGGATTTACTTCGGCTCCGAAAGACTGGTCATTTTCACACAAATACATTTCATATTCTGCATCCACGCTGAGGCTCTGACCGGCAGACGTTTGTACAGTGGCAAGTAATTTAGGCTTTTTCAACACAGAGAAAAGGCTTGACGATGTAGACGGCAGTGGCGCAAGCTCTTCGACGGGCGAAATATTCAACTGCACTCGTTCCATCATGCCGATGACTACAGCTTTCATCTCGTTAGTAGTTAAGGTCCCAAAGCCGCAATCGCACAGTTCGCTTTTATAATTCGGATCCAGAAATAATGCCGCAATATAAACGCTGTCATTTTCAGTATTAGCGAAACGAGTATTAACTTCACTGAGTAGATCACGGGCATATGATTTCAGCAGGCTAGCCGGATCATCAGCGTATGCCTGAAAGTAAAATCCGTGATATTTACGATAGCATAAGCAAATGTACATAGAAACAATAGATTTCGTATTTATAACGTTCTAAATTTTAATACAACAACTCAGCTATTCTACAGTTGATGAGCAAAATAACGTACAAAGTTACAAACTACAAAGTACAAAGTACTACAAACTACAAAGTTAAATGGTGTTGCAATTTACCTGAAGGTTCCGGCGCAACAGATAAACGGCGGGAATCACTTGGCAAACAGTAGGATAACCAGCGCTCTGCAGTTTCAGAAACAATTGCTCAAATGTGCTCGTCAAGTTGATGAAGTCTTGCAAAATTCGGACGTCTTCAGCAGTCAGTCGGTGTTTTTCTTTGAAAATCAGTCCGTCTTTTTCCCAATTATACTTTACGGCAACTTGAACCATCTTGTAGTTAGTGTTCCAACGGGTAACACAGCGGTTGGTAAATTCGCGTCCAAAGACTTTCACAATTTGCTCCGTTTGTTGCGGTGACTTCTTCGCAGAGCTCACGATCTTTGCAAGTTTTTCGATGACAGTGTTCAACTTCGCACAATTCTTCACTGGATTTTTTAAACATAGCTGCATTGTGTGCGCGACACATCGTAACTGCAAAAATATCCACATTTTTATTATGCACTGTAACAACGCAAACAATTAATCGTAAGCGTCTAAAATCAAGCAGATTTTACCACTGACATTATCCGCCGCTGCGAGAAAAAACTTTTATTTTTATAATTTTTTCTTTATATAATATAATATTCAGACTATTCACATGCGTTAAAGCTCCGAAATACATTATTATTTATTAGGTAATTCTTAACATATTTACTTATTTTACACCAGTTATTGTACCTGAATTGATCTGCCGTTGATAACACATTCTTGCTCCAGCAGACCGCATACTTCTTTTGCAATTGTTGAATCCGAATCCAGATCATCAGGACTGAGATACTCGACATCATAGTCCTCGCTGGCTACTGCTTCAGTAAGACCATCGTCAGTATTAAGATTATTATCACCTTCGCAGAATCCTTCCATAAAACCCGGCATCCAGTCTTCAAAAGCTTTCACAACATTTCCACCATTATCAGTGCCCACGTAAATAACCTTTTTCCGGATATTGAACTTCTCCAGTATTTCGATTACCAACTTGAAAATTTCATCCGCTCCGTGTTTTCCTTCAAAACGCGTACAGGCAAGCAAATGATTCCGCAAGTTCCACGATGAATCGATGAAATGTACAGTAACGCCCAAGTAGCCGCGCTGTTTCTTACTACTCCAAATATCACAGTTAATGGCAACGAAATCGACTGACTCCAGTTCTTTCTTCAGCAGATCCACGTAGATTTTGTCGTATTCTGGTATCATATGGCGAGCAATGTACTTTTGAGTCGGCCACTACAAAATAATGAGATTTTTAGTTAGAAACTTCTAGTTCTAAACACAAAACCTGCTGCTGCGCATAAAATGTAACACAGGCGCGAATATAAAGTACAGTGAGCACACTAGCGAAATCCACAACCGGTTACCCCCCGTATTGTTACATTTAAAAGTAACTATCGTCACTTACATGTAGCCGTTCGTCGAAATTCTTCACCAGTTTGTCCCAACATGGATTTGTCAAAGCATTCACCGAAATTAAAGTAGAAAACAGGCAATCCGCGACGCATTCATGCAGAAGCCTCTGCTGGCGATGCTCGTTACTGTACGGAGTCACTTTCTTTTCTACGCACTTAAGACTGTCAATCTCTGGCTGCAATAACGCGGAGGTCGATTTTCCGTGAGTAGCGATGAAGTCTTCCACTGCCTACAACAAGCCGTTGAAGTAGTTATATTCTTTCAACATACAATTAGTAATTAGCACGAGAGGTACATTATTTAAAGTGTTTTACAAGGGTTAGTGTAAGTATACTTTACTAAGGTAAAGCAAAATGTAAGCACTAACAAGTAAGCAGTGAACATCATACAACTACAAACAACAGCAACACAGTAAGTACTAAGTACTAGCGCAAAAATACGTATGCCTAAAACTTGTATGGAGAATCACCAAACACAAAAATGCTTAAGGGCTTACTGGTTCTCTCCCGTGATGAGTAACAACGTGAATCCTGAATTTTCCGTACGATTCGAAATCTTTGACGGTTTTTCCATTGGCCTTCTTGCAAAACTTGCATTTCGCGCTGTGCAGCTGCCCTGTTCGCAAATTTCTTGTTTCTTTCATTGACGAATGGGCTTCGTACAGATGCAAGTAGAACAACTTCGGTGATATGGTATCAGCAAGGGGATTTGATTTTTTGGAAGTGGCAGATTTCTTCGGGTCTCCTTCATCATCGGAGCTGAGCAGTTCCACAGTGTCCACCGTTTTGGACATATTCGTTCTGCCAGATGATCACGGGAAGAGACAGTGGCTGGCGAAAGTTTTAAAATTGCGCATTTAAATAAGAACAATCATTTCGTTTCCAGATGAGTATTCACGACTACAATACTTAGCACGAGATCTAAAAACTAAGAAATCACTCTACAGACTCTAAGGTTCTTTGCATTTTCATATTGAATTGTAAGTAGAAGTACGCGAACTCAGTCCTGCTGTCTGCTGCTACAATGCCAGTGCCAATGGAACAGCTTCTTTGAGCGGTCTTACAAAACATCAGTGTACTATTGCATATCAATGTGATTGCAGTCTTGATTGAGTGGATTTATTAAGCGTTTCTGCACTGGAATTGGAATTGTGGCAAACACATTTCTTGCGCCGGAAGTAAGATAACTGTAATTTGATAATTATAATTTTATTTTACACCCAGGCTTCTCAGCCCATTTTCAGCCCATTTCGGTAAAAAATTTTCATCCCATTTCTGGAAATTTCAGCCCATCTCACCTCATCTGTGGCTCTGTCCCATCTCATTTTCATTCCCCTCTAAAAGATGAGGTGGGCTGGGAAAAATGGGAAAAATTTTCACCTCACCTGAAAGATGGGCAAAGTCTGATGCCCACCTTTCAGCTGGTTTTACTTGGCGCAGTCGTTAGCGTGGAACAATTACGGTCAGGAAAATAACTGTGCCTGTGTGCTGCAGCGACAGGTTGTCCTTTGCAAAAACTTTCCCCTTGGAAGCGTGTCTGGAGAACA